CCCGCGATAAACACACCTAAACCCAAGGATTTCCGCGCATACGATCAATTCTTTCAACAAATACTTGAAGCGCATGTAATATCTCTTGCTGCCGAAACTCTCAACGCCGACACCGTCGAGTTGTTCAATCACCGCCTCCGCGCAGCCAACTGGCGTCTTGTAATAGAGGATATGGTTGATGCTATATTCCCAGTATGCGGGGGACTATCCGTCGTCAAGCGCAGGCGTTTCTGTGAGCGCGGCATTCCTGTTCCGCACCAATCCAGAGATATTCTATATGAAAATGCGATTTTACTACTGCAGCAAGGATTGGTGTACGCTGACTACGGTGCGGCGGTATGCGCGGGGGATCCCGGGCGCCTGGAGCACATCATTCGCCTCTGGACCACGCAATTACATGGTACCCAAAATATCAATTACCCGCGCGAGGTGATTCATTTGATTGCTTGCATGGAGAAAATATGGTCCCCAGAGATGAGAAATATATGGCACCACAACTGCCTGGTTAATCCCTCTGGGCGCAGGGGGGCATGGGTGCCCGACGACCTATTTGGTGAGTATGTTGTGCATGAGATCAAGGCTAGGATCCACCCAAGCAGCAATATTCACTCGGACCAACACCTTAGAGAAACAATATCTCGCCAAGTGATGTCGCTACACGCCAGTAAGGTTTCTATGGAGCGAGAATCGCGTGCGCACAGCTATGGGACGCACTCATCCTTGGTACGCAGCTCAACTGATGTGGCGAATATTGTGCGCGTACTCCTCGATGAAGCCATATGCAGAGACTCGATCCCCCGCGCGCTGGATAGTGTGAAGGAACAACCGCACTGGGAGGCAACAGATTTGATGGGCGCGGGAATAGCGCGCCTCGCAACTGGGGTGCCACTGCGCGAATATATGCAGCGTGCACGATTCAGCTGGCACCCTGGAAAGTCCTCATCAAACACGTCATCCCTGGATCTCGAAACCGAAGAAGATTTTGATACTGATATACTTGGCCCAGAAGCCGGGCTAGACGATCTCCTCTGACACATTGTACGCTGGTTTCTTTGTCTGATGGTTTAGTTCTTTGTCCCTGCGCGCAAGTTTCTTTGTCCCTACGCGCAGGTTTCTTTGTCCTTACGCGCAGGTTTCTTTGCGCGCAAGTTTCTTTGTCCCTGCGCGCGGGCTTCTCTGTGCGCAGGATTTCTTTGTTAGACTATGTAGACTGTTTCTTATAAATCCCAGACTTGAGCGCATACTCGAGGGACAAACTGGACCAATGCCCGACATGTAGCAGTGGACAAATTATGGCAGCCAATCTAAATCATCCTATACAGCATCCGGTCGATGTGGATTTTGCAGTCGGTCAGGCAGCGCTCAATACTGGGCGCCAGATACTCAACCAATTGATCGAGATTAGAGCCCATCTGTTCAATGCGGAGGCGCGGCGAATCAACCGCGCAATATATATGAGCGGATCACGGGAGGTTTGGATACCCATGCGACATGTAGATGGCTCTAGCCCAGGGGCTACATTCCCGCGCAACCACGAGGAGTTGCTAGCCATGACTCCCCAGCAAATGGGCACCGTCTCAGCACATTATGGATTGACTCATATACCTTGGCTCAATTATGCGAGTGCGAATAATCCTACGTCGCGCAGACGAAAAATTCTGGCATTTCTTGGATGCCTCGACCTTTGAGAAAGAGCGCGGATATTTATGCGCGCTGTTCTTGCGCGCTGTATATGCTAGGGACACACATTTGCGTGTGCATATTTGCGCGTAAATATATTGCATTGGGGAATAAATCAATAGGCTTAATATATATTTATCAAATCACTCTTTCCTGCCCGTGCGTACTGAAGCAGCGGCCCTGACTTTACCCGCGCGCAGCCCTCCCCGAGGCCTTAGTGGCAGATTTAATCCCTTTGCTTTCTCGTTCCAGCTTGCTATTGCCTTTGATTCAACTTGTTCCTGTGTCTTCCGTGCCGCCAGAATAGTCCTCTTTTGCACCGCGCGCTGTTCTTTAGCTTTGTCTGTAGCTGCGATGGCACGCTGAATCTCTAGTAGTGGCGCCTGCGCGGGGTTTCCGGGATCCACTTGAACAAAACTGAAATCATACATTCGGGGCCGTGGCGGTGCTCGCTCACGTCTTCGCGGGGAAATCACCATCTTGATACTGTCGATGAGTGATAGCAACGACTGTGTGGAGGCCTGGAGGACAGAGTATTCCAGATGCACTTCAGGCGACAGTACCTCGGCCAAGGATTCTGGGCTGTTAATAGTGAATAGCTCCCCTGTAATTTTGGCGATGGCAGCCTCGCTCATGGAATCTGTAGGCATCAAGGAAGGGTATAACCCGCGCACCCAGGCGTTGTATTCCGTTGCGCGCCATTCTATAAGCTTCTCACGCGCCAATACCATCCCAGATTTGGAGGGCGCATTGCTCTTTGCCACTACTACGTCCATATTCTTCTCGAATAGCACACAATACTGGGTCTCGTGGTACTCTGTAGTATATGTATAGCGTATTGAGCGCCGAATATCCACAGGCCCTATCAAAAAATCCCCGTCCCCCCATTCTATTGCATTATTGAAGAAACAATTATCGCAACAAGTAGACGCCGTCGCACTCGTTGGAGGCACGGGAATACCGACGCCCGATATCCAGGAGGGGTCCCCAAACGCGCAAATACCAGCACGCCAACGGCACCCCGCGGTGTTCAGAAACCATACTAGTGCAGGGTCAATATTATCCAGCACACAACGCACATCCGCCGCGAGTGCGCTGTATAGACCCCTAAGAAACTCCTCCATGGATTGCCTTCGCGCGGGGTCAGCCGCGCGGCGCCATCCAAAGTAGAAGCCCCCTTCATTCCCTGGGCGGTCGTTTTCCTCCGGCAGAAAATAACGTTCCTGAACAAATATGCATGCCACCGCACGGCGCGTTGAATCCCTCGCCGCGCGACCAATGCGCTGCCATACTGCAGCGAGGGTAAGATGTGGCATTATTCCCCACTGCACGATGACATCGATGTCTGGAAAGTTGATACCCATAGCAAACACCTCTGTGCCAATAAATATACGGTGCAAGCCATCCTTCACACCTCTCATGTATTGTGCACGGGTGTCTGGCTCAAGGGATGCACTCATGACCTTTATAAGATCTTTGGCGCGCGCAGATATCGAGGGATGCAAGAGGTTTCGTAAATAGCGCGCAATTGTATGCGCGCTATCAACGTTGTCCACAAATACGAATGCCTTTGGAATCATAGAGCCAATAACCACCTGTCTGTCTATAAGAAAGTCAAGTTCATGTAGCGCAGCTAGTAATGCTTGTCTAATAGGTATAACCGCGAGGGTAATATTGGCACGGCCGATTGGCCGCCTGTATATTATAGTCGGCGACGCAAGCAGTAAAACCTTATGGATATAGCCCAATACGTTGGGTGCAAGTGTCGCGGACAGTGCAATGATGGGAATGCTGCGTAGGTGCGCGCGGAAATCGGAGAGGTTGCTATACTCTTGGCGGAATGTTCGATATCCCCACACCACATGAGCTTCGTCCACGGCTATTGCAAGGAGGTTATCTCTGAACGCGCAGGGCTTTCTCAGTATGTGCACCCAGAAATACGACCCAGAGGTAAGGAGGACCTCTGGGGATGCATATACGAGACGATATTTGCCCTCAGCGACCTCACGCAATGCTTGGGGGCGCGCTTGAATCTCCGTCGCGGTAAGAGCGATAGCACCTATTTGATTGGATTGAAGCCACGCTACCTATGTTTGGTCAGTTATACGTACATGTATGCGCGCGCGCTACTAGTATGCCGTGTAGGTTCACATGATTACTTGCCTGGTCGTACATTATGCTCAGCAGTGGAGATACCACTAGGATAATTCCATTTTGCACAGTATATGGCAACGTCTGGAAGATAATGCTCTTCCCTGAGCCCGTTCCGGCACTGACAACGACGTCCCGGTGCATCAATACGTCGGCGATGGCGGCAGCTTGCCAATCATGGAGCTTGATGCTGTACATTGCACGGGCAACGTTGAGCGCGCGCAAGATATAGTGTGCTCGTAAATGATTTGGGTCGACATCGGCGGAATCTAACCACTTTTTACTCTCCATCTTCAGAACTCTTTGGCACAGGAGGTTGGGGCGATGTGACGATAATTGGTGCCTGAAAACTAACTACGTAGTAGATACAGTGGAGCACATGGTTACCCCGCGCACCGCCAAGAACAAGAATGAATACCCCCCGCGCAAGTGATACAGCGCGCACCGCCAAGAACAAGAATAATACCCCCCGCGCACGAGATACAGCGCGCACCGCCAGGAACAAGAATGAATACCCCCCGCGCAAGAGATACAGCGCGCACCACCAGGAACAAGAATGAATACCTCCCGCGCAAGAAATACAGGTAAGCTATAAGAAATACAGTGCGCACCGCCAGGAACAAGAAAGAATGATACCCCCGCGCAAGAAATACAGCGCGCACCGCCAGGAACAAGAATGAATACCCCCCGCGCAAGAGATACAGCGCGCACCACCAGGAACAAGAATGAATACCCCCGCGCAAGAAATACAGGTAAGCTATAAGAAATACAGTGCGCACCGCCAGGAACAAGAAAGAATGATACCCCCGCGCAAGAAATACAGCGCGCACCGCCAGGAACAAGAATGAATACCCCCCGCGCAAGAGATACAGCGCGCACCGCCAGGAACAAGAATGAATACCCCCCGCGCAAGTGATACAGCGCGCACCGCCAGGAACAAGAATGAATACCCCCTGCGCAAGAGATACAGCACGCACCTCCAGGAACAAGAAAGAATGATACCCCCGCGCAAGAAATACAGCGCGCACCACCAGGAACAAGAAAGAATGATACCCCGCGCATCTACCACAGGTAAGCTATAAGAAATAGAGAGCGCACACAGGTTAGTATAAAAGAAACCCTTTAAAGACACGGCCTGGTTGGCGCGAGAAATGGAGCTCGCACCAAAATCAAGAATCCTGCTTTGGCAGATTTTCTGCCCCGCCTTCTAGATTGTCTGCCCCCCCTTCTAGACTTTCTGCCCCCCCTTCTACATCTCCGTCCGAGGGGATTGCATTCACCCAATTGCCGACATCTGTCGTCTTCTGTGATATTTCTGCTGAGCCTCGGGTGGGGCGCCGCGCATCGGTATTGACGTCCTCGTGCTGGGGGGTATCGGGGACGGTGGGGGAGGAGCCTGCCTCATTCTCATTTATCACTTCAAGCTTAGGTGGGAAAACCGCCCTGCTGGAGGTTTGCCTTGTATAGAGCCCTTTATGCCTATCCTCGAAGCCCTGGCTCTGCGGTCTAGGGCCATAGCGGGGAGTCTGGGGCGCGGGGGTAGAGAGGGGCGCGGGGGTAGGGAGGGGCGCTCCAGAATCGACAACATCCTCGGCTTCAAGGTCAATGACACTACAAGCTTCAGTGGAAGGCTCACGAAACGCAGTGGTCATATTAGGGGGCCAATATCTCGACCCCGCGCGCGTGATGTTTTCGCGGGGCGATTGAGGATCCATTTGCGTAGATAGCGGTGACGGCGCGTGCTCACTCGTTTTACGCTCGGGGGTTATTCTCATGGTTTTAAGGGGTGCAGTATCACGGGGACTATAGGCGATAAACTGTGGTGCCAAGGAATACAACTTCGGTAGTGACGTAGACGTAGACGTAGACGTAAAGGTATACTTTGACTATGGACTATGGGGTGGCTCTGCCTGGTATGATAAACCAATTGGAGCCCTATGACGTAGTGCGGACAAAGAATAGTATTCGTGGAATAAATACAGAGGTTGCGTAAGGAAGAAAGAGAAGAAGGAAAACAGACAAAAGCACGAGACAACGCCCCCTTATATATCCATCCATAATCCAACGATGACTAATACCTTCGCGTAACAGAAACCCAAAGAACATAACAGAAATCCCCATTACAAATCCTAATTCCACTGCACGATACCTCCTTCCCTCATCCCAGTTCGTCACCTAGCCGAAATACGTAGCTGCCGTTACAGACCACGCCCCCCTCTAAGGCCTACCTCCTGGTAGGCTTAGGCTTCTCTGGATAACGCTCATGGAATCGTCTACTGATTTCAGGTGAATGCTCAAGATCCGATAGCGGTTGCCAGGAGGCTTCGTCATATCCCATATATCGTACCAAATATTCAAATCTTCCTCTTCGTTTCCTCGAATCCAAAATATCTTCAACTTCCCATTCTTCCTCCCCTTCGATTTCAATGGGAGGTGGTGGTAATCGTTGTTGCCCTGGTAAAGGATCGTTCGCTTCAGGTGACAATAACGAAACATGAAATACTGGATGAATTTTCATCGACCGGGGAAGTTCCAACTCGTAAGCATAGGGATTAACGATTCGTTTAACGCTATAAGGCCCAATACGTTTCCAGTCGAATTTCTTAGAGGGTCGCTTTGTTAGAATATGACGGGTCGATAGAAAAACCTTGTCTCCTAAATAATATCGAGGAGCTGGAGTTCGATTCCTATTGGCTGATTCTTCTTGTATCCTTTGCGCCCGGAACATTTCTTCTCTTAGGAAGTCCACCACATCCTTCATTTCCCTTGCAATACGGTTCGCTTGATCCTCCGCCGTCGTTCGACCATGTTCCAAAGGCCCAAATGTCATCCTAGGATTCCTTCCCGAATTAGCATAAAAGGGGGAAACTTTTGTTGTTTCGGAAACGTGGTTGTTGGTTGCAAATTCAGCCATCGGTAGCCATCGGACCCAGTCATCTTGTTGATAGGAAATGTAGCTTCGGAGGTATTGTTCCATTATGGCATTGATTCTTTCTGTCTGTCCATCTGTTTGGGGGTGGAATGCAGTAGAGAACTTTGGCGAGATTTCCAATCGATCACAAAGGGACCTCCAGAATTCTGCGACGAACTGTGTTCCTCGATCGGATACCATGGTGTCGGGTAATCCATGTAGCTTCCAGACGTTATCAATATATAGCCTTGCTACTTCCTGTGAGTCCGCCTCCTTTGTCGTTGGTATCAGATGCCGCATTTTGGTTAGTCTATCCACCACGACCAAAATCGCATTATACCCATCACTCTCAGGAAGATCAGTCACAAAGTCCATCGAGACATCTGTCCAGGGTCCATCGGGAATTGGCATGGGGCGAAGTATTCCATAAGGTGCATTGTGTGATGCCTTGCTACGGGTGCACACATTGCAATTCCTAATATACTGATCGACAAACTTCCGCATCTGTGGCCAGTAATATTCTCGACTTAGGAGCTCCAGAGTCTTCGCTCTACCCGGATGTCCTGCAGATGGTTTGTCATGATATTCTTTTAAAAGCCTTAATCGAAGGTCATCGTCGTCTGGTACATATAGCATGCCTCGATAAAGTAGCCGACCGTGGTTATCTTCCATACATTCGGCAAGTGAGATTTTGTTTGAGTGGCGTATGCCATTCCGAAGCATATTGAGGACCTTATTTGGGAAACTATCCACTTGGTAAGCTTTTGAAAATAACTCCTCTACAGTGGACGCTCCTTCAGCGGATTCATTTGACAAAGAACCCGCGAACAAACTTAGCTTGGTATCCAAATTTTTTCGCTTCAGAATCACTTGACTCTGATGCATTAACCGTTCATCCCCCTCTTTAGGTAGGTCACCTGACCTCCTAGTCAATGCATCTGGTTTTGTTCCTTGTTTTCCTGGCCGAAATTGTATAACGAAATCGAAGCGTGACAGAAATTCAGACCAACGGGCTTGTCGACGATTTAACAATTTTGTTGTCATAAAATACTCAAGATTCCGATGGTCGCTAAGAACTTCAATTGGAAATTGAGCTCCCTCCAGATAATGTCGCCATTCTTCAAAACATCGTATAATTGCTAAAAGTTCTTTGTCATAGATTTCGTAGTTGCATTCTGCGGGAGAGTGTTTCTTGGAAAAGAAAGCAACTGGATGTAGGATTCCTTCGTTGTCACGTTGAGATAGGATTCCTGCTGAAACATAATCGGATGCATCGGTTTCTATCACAATTTTTCGATCTGGATTGAAATGAGCTAGTATCGGTGCCGTTATAAACATCTTTTTCAAAGTCTGAAATGCTTCCTCCCTTTCATCCGTCCATTCAAATTTAACGTTTTTCTTTGTCAAGGCTGTAAGCGGGGCAACAATTTTCGAATATCCCAAAATAAACCGTCGGTAGAAATTTGCAAATCCTAGGAATACTTGGACATCACGAAGGTTTGTCGGTGTAGTCCATTCCAAAACATCGATAACTTTCTTTGGATCCATTCTATTTCCATTCGGAGTAAGGATTAAACCAAGATATTTTGTTTCCTGAACCATAAATTCACATTTTTCAGGTTTAAGGTGAACATGACTTTCATTAAGTACCTTTAGAACCTTCTGAATATGTTCTTTATGTTCTGATAGGGTCTCGGAATAGATAAGGATATCGTCTAAGTATGCTGTTACGAATTGATCGAGGTAGGGACGTAGAATATCATTGATCCAATGCTGAAACGTGGCAGGGGCATTAGCTAATCCAAATGGCATTACGGTATATTCGAAATGTCCATATCGAGTCCGGAATGCTGTTTTCCATTCATCTCCCTCCGCTATCCTGATTTGATTATATCCCCATCGTAAATCCAACTTAGTATAGTATTGTGCTCTTGACAATTTAGCCAGGGTTTCTTTCAACAATGGTAATGGATATCGATTTTTGATTGTAATCGCATTTAGGCCTCGGTAATCAACACAGAGTCGAAGGGTTCCATCGCTTTTCTTTACGAATAGTATGGGTGCTCCTGCTGGTGATTCACTGGCTCGAATAAATCCTTTGGGTAAATTTTCGTCAAGATATTCTCGTAATGCTTTTAACTCGATTTGAGACAATCCATATATAGGTCCATATGGTGGTCGTTTGCCTTCTTCCAATACTATTTCGATATCATGGGATGGTCGATGTGGTGGAAGAATTGAAGCATCGTATTCTTTAAACATATGGAGACGATGATGAAAGTTCTTCGGTACTAGTTGTTCAATGTCGACAGTAGATTTTTCAGCTGCTGAAACAATTACTGTATGGTGTTCCGGTACGGGAATCGAGATACCGTGAACAATTACTGCAGTTCCACTGAGTGAACAGTGTTGACAACAGCTTCGAGAGTCGAAAACAAGTAGATTTTCCTTTGGTCGAATTGTAATATCATGTCGTCGCATCCAAGGTATCCCCATCACAATCGGGTAGTGTCCTAACTTTGTCACAAAACATGGCGCCGTCTCTCGGTGACCATGAATATCTAGCGAAACATCGACAATATGAGTAATTTTTCCCGATTTGATAGGCCTTCCATCTATAACGTCTACATGGCGAGATATTTTAAGAGGAGTCATTGTAAGATTGTTGTGGCGTGCAAAAGATTCATCAATGAAAGCATATCCTGATGCTCCGGTATCAATAAGGGCGTAGGTAGGTATGAAAGAATTTTTATTCTGTGAAATCGAACAAGTTACTACAAGTTGATTTCCATCCATTTCCTCCTCTGATACCGAAAAACCAGAAATACACATCCTAGAAAAATCCTTAAATGGTCCCTGGGCTAAGCCACTTAGTGCAGGGACAAATCTTTTGCCGACTCGTTATCGCTTCCAGCATTTTCTTCCACCGTCAATGCCGCTCCTCTCATCACAGGTCTCCTTGGTTGATTTCCAGTTACCCTCGCTTGGGGGCAATCCCTAACCATATGTCCAACACCTCCGCAATAGAAACATCGGCCCTCAACTAAACGGGCGTTTCTTTCGGCAGGGGTAGGGCGACGACGTCCTCCGGACAGATCCATGGGTACATCACCTCCAGGACGGAACGAGGGGTGATTCTCAGTGGCAGGTGGGTTGGTAGCAGGGGCAGCAGGACGGGGAGCAGGAACAGGATTTGTTGGTGGGGGACGCGGAGCCGGGGTCGCAGTAGTAGTCCAAGGTTTTTTACTACCTCGCTTAGCTTCCGCCGCCCGTCGTCGATTATCCAACCGTTGCAAGAGTGTTGCACAACCATCTACCGTTGCAGGAGTCTCGTGGTGTATCATCGATTCGTCCAGTTCTCCATTAATTCCTTCCATCAAAGCCTCAATCCGAGAGACTTCATCCATTCCCGACTCAGCAGCATACCGTTGAAATTCAGCGAAGTAGTCAGCGAAAGTTCGAGTGCGTTGTCTGATATTCCGGAGATTTCTCCTAGCCGTACGCATTCGATCGGGGTCTCCAAAAGCTGTATCCAGGATCTCGTAAAACCGTGTCATAGAAGGTAAGGCAATACCTTCTTCTCCCATATACTGTAAGAACTGATTGGCAGCAGCACCTTCCAATCTGCTAAATGCGTACGATAACTTAGACTGTAGTGTAGGATAGCGATCGATATTTCCCAGTAACTTGATTTTCATTTGTTGCTTGAATAAGTGTAGTCTTTCTCGATCACGATCCCCCCTAAACACATCGGGATCTGGAAGTTTCTCCGACCGATAGGTAGTACCTGTAACTGGTGGCGCTGGAGGTACAGGTGGAGCGTTGTTTCCAATAGGTTCTTCGTCAGGGGCCACAACCTCAACAGCAGTTCGTTGAGCTCGGGCAGCAGTAAGATCTCGTTCAAATATCCTTCTTGCCCTCTCAGCCTCCGCTTCTATCTCCTGTAAATCCGTTGCATATTGAATAAGACCATTTTGACACTGTTGAAGAAGCGCATAGGCTTCAGCTCCGACAACGTGATCGACCTGTGGATGCGCTTCAAAAAATCTTTGGAGATTATCATTGAGTTGTTGATAATCGACATGGACATGTTCCGACATTGTAGACTATGGTGTTGTATTGGTTGGCGATAGAGGACGCAACCTACGTATCACGGGGACTATAGGCGATAAACTGTGGTGCCAAGGAATACAACTTCGGTAGTGACGTAGACGTAGACGTAGACGTAAAGGTATACTTTGACTATGGACTATGGGGTGGCTCTGCCTGGTATGATAAACCAATTGGAGCCCTATGACGTAGTGCGGACAAAGAATAGTATTCGTGGAATAAATACAGAGGTTGCGTAAGGAAGAAAGAGAAGAAGGAAAACAGACAAAAGCACGAGACAACGCCCCCTTATATATCCATCCATAATCCAACGATGACTAATACCTTCGCGTAACAGAAACCCAAAGAACATAACAGAAATCCCCATTACAAATCCTAATTCCACTGCACGATACCTCCTTCCCTCATCCCAGTTCGTCACCTAGCCGAAATACGTAGCTGCCGTTACATGCAGAAGGGTTCGCCGTGTGGTGATATCGGGAGCCCATGTCACCTCTCGAGCTCATGTGGGATTCTGCGGGCGGGGCTTTTGCTACCTTGCGCGATTTAAAAATATGCTCGGTGGGTAGGCGCGCAGGAGGAATGCCGAAGAAGGCGCTGGTGGGCGACATTGCTTGTTGCGCGGTGCCAGGAGCTTCGGCGGGGTGGTTTTGCCATGAGGGGTTGGAGTGATGCTGCATCTGTTGCGCTGGCTGTTTGGACTGATCGCGCGCGCGCGTAGTATATGCTCTCTCAGTTTCCATAGCTTGCGTTGCGTTAGACAAATTTTCGAGGAGCGATGGTTCTTCTCCGTACAGCTCACAGAGCTTGTCTCTTTTTCTTTTGTACTGCTCAATAAGAGCGTGCTGTTTACGAGTAGCAGTGAGGAGGTATTCCTTACGGCGTAGGGCAGCGTAGGCGATAGTATCCATGCGGTTGCACTCGTCGAGGATTACCCGCTGATGAATTTCATGCTTCATGTAAATATTGGAGCGCGCGTATATCTTGGCGAGGGTATTGGAGAGTGGAGTTTCTTCATTGTAATCACAGGCGGAGTCAAGATTTCCTGGGCGCGCAAATATATCTGCGTCCACTAGGTCCGCAGATTTAGCGCGCAAAGCCCGGAACTTGCTTACATCCTCTGCGATCTGTTGGTTGGTACTCGAAACAGCATTCTCCGCATCTTTCACGATGCCAGTGAAGTCAAAGTTAGGGTCGTCAAAGTCGGAGAGTAAACCTCCATGTGGCGGCGATGGGGGAGTGGGGAGAACTGGCGTGTAGCCGCTATTTTGCGATGAATTCTCCGTGGGGCAATATGGCAGTAGTAAGGCGGGTGGACGGTCTTTGATGGGGGTGGAGGGAATTGGCGGAGGCCATATAAGGGGGGAATTGGTGGCAGGGGTTATGTCCTTGAAGATAGTCGCTATGTAATTATCGCCCAGGTCGCTGATGGGGTCTGTGACGCACTGATGGAGAGCTTTGCCCACAGCGACGCAAAATCTATCGCGCAGGGTCTTTTCCCAGTATTCATCCGTATCATCTTCGAGCCAGCCAATATGGCCAGGCGGAGCTTTCACCCTGGGCACGCCTATCAGTAGGGGCGTGTGGATTTCAATGAGCTCCGTCATCCCAAAAGCGGTAACGTCCGCCAAAGGTGGGGAGGGGCGAACCCTATGCGCAGTTTCTGCAAGGGACCGTCGTTTAAGATAGTCTTCCAGGAGGGGGCTTTCCTGGAAGATTTGGGCGTATTGCTTGACCTTTTTGACCAGATGGTTTAAAACCTTATCGTGCGCAGCCTGGAAGTCGCCAAGAAGATCAAGTTCGGCTTTGGCAAACAACTCTTCGGCGGGCAGGAGTTGCTTAAAGAGGGCGCGTATAGGGGCTTGAAGAAACCCGGCGCGCACGAAGAATACTTGGGCCCAGTAAAGCGGCACGCGCGCGCTCCATTCTTCAATCGACTATTGAAGGTTAGTAGGCAGCGCGTGGGAATATCTGTAGGGCGCGGGGGGGGGGGGGGGTCAAACCTTAGAGCTTTGCATGAACTTGCGGAGATGATTGGGTGCGTAATCAGGCTTAATGGTAGGTTTTGAAGCAGGCTGCTTTTTCTTTTTGGGGTCTGGCTCCTGGGTGGAGTTTGGATCTGGGGTTTCCTCCACTCGGGCATTGCGTGAGCGCTTTGGGGGGGGGGGGCGTCGTGGGGCCAGGAGTATGGGTGCGCTTGCGAGCTGGCCCTGCCATGTTTGGTGTACGGCTTTAATTGCGAGCTAAAGGGCAAGCAAGATATTAGTATGGATATATATCTATGTGAGGTGCAGTGTTTTTTCACGCGCACTAGTATATGAGTACGCGTGATTATCCTTGCGCAGGAAAATATAAAAGGTGCACGGGGATCCTCACGCCCGTGTACCCGCGCGGGGATCCTCACGCCCGTGTACTCGCGCGGGGATCCTCACGTCCGTGTACTCGCGCGGGGATCCTCACGCCCGTGTACTCGCGCGGGGATCCTCACGCCCGTGTACTCGCGCGGGGATCCTCACGCCCGTGTACTCGCGCGGGGATAGAGATGCGCGGGCAAAAAGGAGCGCAAGAATAGAAGTACGCAGCCAAACAGGAGAGCGGGTAGCGTAAGAATAGAGGTGCGCAGCGAAACAGGGGCGCAATGATACAGATGCGCGGGGAAAAAGGAGCGCGGTGACACAGATGCGCGGGCAAACATGAGCGCAGGAATGTAGACATACATACAAGAATATGGGTACGCGTAGGGTACGCCGTGCGTGTAGAATACCTTGCGCGTGGAAAATGGTGCACTAGGAATTGAATTGGGGGTTTAGGGGCAGAGTATACGATGTGGCGGTGGTAGGTGTATGTGGTGAGGATCAAATTCACCAGGCTGTATGAAGGTTTGACGTGATATATCATGATGTGGCTGGATGTGTGGCTGTAATAACATTACCCTGACCTTGTTACTATTACGTAATACAGCCTGGAAACGAGGCTAAACGAAATCTGAGATGGGATTCGCAGCAATTGCATTATCAGATATACTACGATGTTTTTTACGCTTCAGTTAACGTGCTGTAGAGATGTATGTAGAGTATTGACCCAGCTTCAGCTCCACAGCTCTCTGAAATCACAGTCTAAGACCCTTCTTCACCCACGGACGGCCGGTTTACTCGGATCTCACACGGCTATCCCCACGCCCACGTCCACCCCCACATGTACATGCCGAGCGGCTCCTGCCGTCTCCAGCCGTGTGGTGAAACCGAGACAGGGCCCGCATGTCCGAATCTGAACCGTGCTGACATCACAAAGATCTTATCAGATTCGATAACTTGGCCCCCCACTGCCAGCTTCAATTCCAGCTTCAATTTCAGCTTCAGACCTTATCATCTAAAGGCGTTCTCATCACCAAGTCTACTACGCTAGCAACATTTATAGACCGAGAGCATCCGTTCAGCAAACATGGAACTAACTAGGTAGTTCTAAGGTTAAATAAGACATCCTCAAAGAATCCGTTTTAATTTACCTAGCCACAACTAAAGATATGTATAGAGACCTTACGACCCCAACCTCATCCGCCCCCTCTCGATTGCACCCCTTCTCAGTTTACCAGGTACCTATCTACTGAAGAGCTGCATCCCTAGCAAAACTTAGAAGCGTAAACCGGGCCAATGCCATCACTGCCGCAAGACCAGCGATAATCACCACCATTTTCCCCACCAACATCATTAGTCTCTGCCACCCCTTACACTTGAAACTTCTGACCGCCTCCTTGAAGCTCAACGCATCACTCCCCTCTTTTCCAAACGTCCTATCAAAGCTAACGATCGCCTCTTGGGTATCAGGAAGCAGCGATGCCTGCACTCTTACCAATACAATCCACAACGGCAGCACAACAAATAGATTCACAGCAAAGCTCAGCAGCATCATCGACACTTTCACCGGGAGACTGGGCTCGCCACTTGACGCAAGAGCAAACAATTTATACGATGCCCACTGGGCGAGAGCAAAGTGGGTCATTGCGGGCAGCGTTTGGCGTGCACTGGACCATGGTGTGGCAAGTACACGCTTAATCCACCATGTAGGCTGGGGGGCGGAGATAACGATACTATAAAAGCGCCTTCATCAACACTGCACCACCAAGGACAGACATAGTGAGTGAGAGAGGAGATGATATACTTACTGTGTCACAGCCAACGAAAATCTAGCAAGCAACAATGTACTTAACACGCTGATAACTAGACTCACCGGCAGGGACGCCCCCAGAAAGCCGTGAAGGATATTTGAGACCGAACCCACCGCAAAGCAATATGCGAAACTTGCGCCGAAGCCCCTCCACGCACTGAGGACTCCCGCCTGTGTACGCAGGTGCTTAAGGGCCCCGCGGATACTGCTGGTGACATATTGTTGTCTATCACTGATACCTAGGACGTCGGCAGCCTTGCGATTGTCGGTGTCGAGCGGGAGGGAGATTGCGGGAGGGGCTTCGATGCTCGCGAGAGTGACAAGAACTTTGAAGGTGTACAATAACTATCGAGATGAGTGTTAAATGCTACATCATGCTGTACTGGGGGAGAACGCCTACCTGAGTGAAGAAAACACCTATAAGAATATCAACAGCCCACATCACATAGAACCACGTATGTCCATGGGTGTCGGTGATGAGTGCCATCCCCTCAGTGGTGGACCAACTGTTTTCAATGGAGATATAATCGATTATAAAAACCATGTTAGGCGGTGGTATGTAGTATGGATTTAGTACTTGCAAATCAGATAGTGAGCGTGAACGAGGTTTTCAGTAGACGACGCGACGGCGAGTTTATATACCGCGGAAGTACTTTACGCGAACACGAAAGGGGGGAAACACGTTATCACAGGAATACTAAACCCCTCACACAAATTGAGCGAATAGTGTGGTATATTGGTTGGGTTTGGGCTGGACCCCACGAGGTACTGAGTCACTGTGATCCCTGAAACCTGGACTCCATGGGGCACAGTTAATGAAGTGCCACCATTCAAGTGCTAAACGCTTTGGAAATCGTTGATAGACGGGGCTATAAATAAGCTCTTTGTGCGATACCTTAAGGTCTTAAGTTGGTAATTGTGTTTTGGACACCCCGACAACCAAGTTAACCTCCTAGACCGCTCGGTATATCTTTGACGTTGGCGGTACCGGTCCTGAGACTCCTTAAATCTGATTCCTAGGTCGGCTCAAGCCCCAAAAACTAAAACCGTAGAGCAGTTATAGTTATAGAACTAGGCTATCAGGAGTGTACCCCTATCCCGAAGCCACATTATTTAAGTAGGAGCACCAATAGATCTACATGTATTCATTACCTATTTTATTGGAACGATTATATTATCGCCATCATCGGTTATCTACATATAATGTAGCTACTTCTCAGGGGACAGAATTCAATGGAAATATTTCTTTAGAAACCAACCCCTATTATTACTTAGACACTAGTAGTGGCCCACCTCGCGACCGCGAGTTGTATTTTGGATTATGGGTATCAATTTCAAGTGTTAAGGCCTTCAATTGGGGGGCCTTCGGCCCCGTTCAATCGTGCCGAACACCTTGAGGCTAGGATGGCCCAAGCGTCTATTCAATGACTCTTAAGGTCTATTTCCCGTTATACCCGAGATTCCCAAACCAGAAGTTGCTATAGATATGGAAGATGTAGCGCTTATCAGCTAAGACCATACCTCGCTGAGGACCTTCATTTCTTATCTACATTTCGTGTCCTGAGGAAATCAATCAGAATAATGATATCAAAGGCTTGATCTTCAAATCCCGGAATTCTGGCCACCGATGCTAAAAATGTACGGGCCATACATGTAGTTTCCCTTCGTTTTTAACAAAGACACCGTCAGATTTGATTTTATTACCACTGGAAAAGAACACCCCTGAGTATATATGGTTACCAACACTCAGTTAATACACTCATGTACAAGTCCGCTGGAACTCATCTACGATTCTCCGCGGACAAGATCCCCCCAGTGGTTGTTCTATTCAACCGTACAGAAAATGGGCATTATATATTCGATGCCAAGATGATACAGTCATCAAACATCACTCGAAAATCGGAATCCTGTTCAAGAACGTCCGCGAGGCGGGTCAACCATAGAGCATAGAGTGAACACATTCCACTAATGGACAGTAAGCCTTGGCCACTGAAGATGCTCTTGATAGGGTAGGTGCATAAGTGGGTAGAGCATAATAACACTAGAGTAGGGTCTAAACTCTAGACCTCATTGCCATAACCGTAAGGCTGCATGCAATTAATGAATTAAACAAAAAACACCAAAACAAAAAAAACCCTACACCTCTCAATTCAAGCGATAAATCCTATTATGGTAACCATAAATTGTTTAGACATTGGTGTTAGAATCCGACTGAGAACCATTAGTAGTGGAACCTGATCAGATTCTCCTGGGGTCTGCTGCCTAAACTATGTCTGCTGGTACTTAAGTGGATCGTTCTTACCTGTGAGCGGGCCAGTGGGCGCAACGAGCATCATCCATAGGGTATCACATAGCCTAAAGCTTTATTGGATAAACAAACCTACCCAAAATTATTCATTGGTTAGGATATGTTCACCCCTTGGGTCATTATCAGAATAATCTGATTCCTGGCAGTTCCCATTTATGATTTTCGGTATCTTAAGTATGGAAGTGTGCATACTAGAACAAGTAAAGGTTTGTACAAAATACCAAGCCCTATGTAGTCTAACTAATCTTGGTCCTATCCCAATTTAGAGGGTATGCAGTTTTAGCGCCAAATGCACTAGAGGAAGTCTTGGATCATTGGCCAGCACTCGGATCTTAATCTTAATCCCCTGTTGATTTTTTGACTTCTAACGCTGGGAGTTGGTTCTTCGACTTTGGTTTATGAACGGGATTTAGGATCTGCATGGGTTCTATTGATTGGAGATTTATTACTGGGATTTTATTTCAGTACCGAGGACCATTTTCCGAGGAAGCTACGTGTATGTACAGTTCTTGGCATATATTTTGAAGATTTTCAGAATGTTTATAAAGCCGAAAATATCATGTGTTTGTGTTCAATTTCTGTATGTACCGCAATATAGGTAGCATGGAAGAGCATATGTACGAGGCTGATGCCTACGTAGTAATCTCTATATCACTTATTCCTGGAAGAGCACGCGGCCGTGTTGTAGCTGGATATCGTACGGCACTCACCAAGAATTTGTGGATCACAAACGGGATGGGGATTTCTTATTTGTGGCACTCTACTCGTAATTTCATAGCGTTTGTGAACATAGCTGGGTCTGCATACAAGGGTCTGGCAAAAAGTGATCGAACGGCTTGGCCCTGCAGAGTCAGGAAGCGAGAAGGATCGTCCAACTGCTCATGAACGGGAAGTGGATTTGGACGTCACTTTTTAAACCTGTTATTCGGAGGCGATCTTTTAAACCGGTTTCCTCACTTGTAGCGGGAATAATAGGTATTGAAGGTTTCCCTTCGGTAATTCTTCGTAAAATTTTAATAATTGTTCCTGTCATTAAGAAGTATAAGTAGAGACCTAGATTCGATTACTAGTAGAATTTCTATCATGATAATTACTCAACATACAATCAGGATGCATCCTACTAGCCCTCCCTCTACTACTGCCGTAGAAGATGCATTGGAATATGACTTTTGTGAGGAGCCGATCACACCTATTCCTACAACAATGCCAGCACCCGCAACTATACCTGCTTCTTCTCTTGCTGTTCACCGCTCTGAGCTATCTCTTAGCCTTCGCTGCAAAATCCGAGCGCTTCGGAGTGCAGCACTTTGGCCATTTAGAAAGATCGGTAAAGAGCTTGGTGTCCCACTTTCTACTGTATATAGTATATGTCAACAGCCATTTACACCTGTACGTCCTCGGATGGGAAGACCACTCATTCTGACCAAACCTATTCGTCTTCAATTAATTGCAACAGCTACCTCTTCCCAAGCAAATCGGCGCAAGCCTCTAATGCAAATTGCGGAGGAAATTGGGATAACCGTCAATCCACGTACACTACGGAAAACCTTTGCAGATGCAGGGTATCACAGAAGAGTTGCCCGTGTTAAACCTTTTCTCTCTCCGGCAGCAAAGATCAAGCGTATGAATTGGGCAGACAATCTACGTGGTTGGGACGTTGCAGACTATCAAAAGATAATCTGGACTGATGAATGTGCCTTTAACGTTGGCGGGTTTGCAGGGAATACATGGGTGACTAGACTACCGGAAGAGGAGTATGTAGAGGATTGCTTGGTCCCAAAATTTAGAAAGTTACAGACGATAATGGTATGGGGGTGTATTTATGGTAAGCAGCAATCTTTCAACAGTGCAACATTTACTAATTATTTTCAGGCAACACTAAAGGACCCTTGGTATTTTGGGATAAAAAAGAATGGGGAAATACGATCAACGGTCCTGGATATTGTCAAAATATCGTTAGACCATACCTCTACCCATTTTGGCAGCAAAAATCTCAAGTTTTGGATTATGTCTACATCATGCATGATGGAGCACCACCGCACCGTGCCAAATTCACCACAAATGTTTTAGAAGAGCTAGGTATACTTGGATATATTTTTGCTTGGCCTGGCAGTTCACCTGACTGTAATCCTATCGAAAATGTATGGAGGATTATGAAAGAGAAAATAGGTACGTCTACTTCTATTACTCTAGTAGAAATTAATATATACTGATCCTCAGGAATATACTAGGTGCGAGGACACCCAAGTGCACAACTAACATTTCTTTGAGGGCTGCTATCGAGGAGGAATGGAATGCCATCTCGCCTGAGGAGATTGCGTCTCTGATTAACACGCTTCCTGAAAGGGTGGAAGCAGTCCGGGCTGTTAGGGGGGGACATACAAAGTATTGATAGCGGAGCGTAATCATCTTTCTTTGGTGCTGGACACGAGTAGTTAGTATTAGTTTGCAGAACATAGTCCAATATTTTCCGAAATGATAAGTGTACTTCCCTTAAACAGTTCACGGGTCTTAGAAGAAACTACTTTCCAGCTCCTGTCATGTAGAGTTCGAGGGGGATGTTCACTACTTTTGGCCCCACAGGTCCTACCCCATCCTGCAGACCAACCCATGCGAGTTCGACCACTTTTTGCCAGAGCCTTGTACACCAAAATCTGGAGCCTCATGCAGGATTTGGCGGGTATGCAACCCAGTTGTGTTCACAAACGCTATGAAATTACGAGTATGTTTTTTCGGTATTTGGGACATTATCGGACTACTTAACCGTGTTTGATGCTAGCTGTCGTTCTTCCAATAAGGAATTTTAGATGCGCAGTGTTCTTGGCATGTAACTAAATGGTTGTTGCTGTCAACCACGATTCAAGATCGCTCTTAACCACCGATCAAACCGAATCAATGCCACATGGCAAAGAAAAAAGAACAATACCTTATGTAATTTCATGGAGTAAGCCCTGCCAATAATTGTCCCATGATAAATTAGCATATCCCAATATGAATCTGAATCAATATTTCTCAACCATTACCTTCAGCGTTTGGCAATTTTAGTTCTTTTTCACTAAACTAAGTCCATAGCCATTGAAATCTACGTAGAATCAAGTGTTGATAGCTATCGTCACATCCTGCTCGCACTCTGAGCCTGGAAATAGAATAAAAAGTGACAAACTCCCCAACAAGTTGCTAGAAAGACATATAAAACATTGATACATATCGAATATAAAAGAGAGAGGGAACTATAAAAGAAGCTTTTAACGCCTGCGTAGGTAGACAAAATGAAGTACCCGCTATCGTAGATAGAATGAAAAATGCGCAAATTTAAACCTAGTACTGGTACATGGGAACGCTTACCCAGCCCAATAGCGCAGTAATAGATTCCATTAGTATCATTGTTGAAGGTTGAAGGGCTAAAATGCGAGCCAAACGTCGTTCCCACACCTGATAATCGGAGAATTAATAAATATGGCTTCGATCACTCGTATCCTTCAAAGGGAGTTCATACCTGCAAACGACGTGTGCACAGCCAACATCCCTGCTGAGCATCATACCACAAGAATCACAGCATCTCCACCCATTCTTCCCGCTCAATCGCTTGTATCGTATCTCCTCTTTCTCCGCTTCATCAAGGACCCTGCATTCCCCAGCTACGTGGGGTGCTGGCATCTTGCAAAGAGTGCAAGTACCTCCTTTACATTTTCCACATATTGCCAAGTCTTCTTCCTCCTTGATCTCCTCTGGCGTAATAAACCACTTCGTATCAAGACCGGCACCCACCTCCGCGTCTCCGTCTTTGATACACCCCCTCGAGCAGAATATAGGGTCGTTTGTACGCCTTTCAAGGACCTGTAGATACTGTTCTTTGAGTCCTTTAGTGTCGGTGGGGCTCTCAACTCCGTCAAGGAAGTCCCCAGTGATTGCGAGAGTAATTTCGTGCCCGCAACAGCGAGGAGGAACGGTGCTCTCGCCGCTATCGGATAGAAGGCGCGAGAAGGTCCGACGGAGGCAATCTCGGCAGTAATTATGGGCACAGTGAGGGAGGACCTTTAGATTATGGGACTTGTAATATTTCATGCAAACCGAACAACGAGTCTTTCCCGCTATATTAAACGAAATATTTGGGTCAGTATCGTGGGGCTACAAGTGTCAGTGGGGTGGAACACCGTACATAATCGCCGAACCCGCCCAGATAAGAAGACGGCAAACCGACGCACCCTTCTAAGTGAAAAGCCCATCGCTAATAGAATTAATAATGATGGTGAAAGTAGAGAATGAAGATTCAGTCACAAAGGTTCATGCAGCTAGGTTCAGATCAAGCACACTGTCGAATGAGGGCTGTAGTTATCGATAACACCTTCACGCGACCTCCAGCGTCAAGTGAGAAACAGCAACGTCAGTCAAGTTGCTACCAGTAAACAATCACCACAAATGAAGCGAGAGTAAGCGGGATTCCGGGACGATAAAGAAGCGAATGTAGTCGGTCGGTGGAGGTGGTTGGAATGTTTCTTTAACGATGATAGTGGTGATGGTGTCGACAGAGGACGTTGAGGTCTAGGGTGTTCCTGGCGATTCTCGGGTCTCTATTCAATGTTACCTATTTCTTCTGTAGCTGTTTGGAGGTTCTGTTGCCTTGCAAAATTTAAAAAAATGCCCAAGCGAGAATTATCCCTCGCCCAGTCTCATATTCAATTATCACATTTCCCAGCTCCACCCAAGCTCAGCCTCACTGTGTTTCTCATACCAACGTACCAGTAGCGCTGATATTCATTTGGTGAATGGCGGGGTATTGACAGGAGTGTGAGTAACACACGGTTCAGGTGCTTTTATGTGGATGAGGACCATCGAGGTCCGTTTTCGGAATGTGAGTCGAGTCACGTACGCGCAGATCTGACTATTTATGAAGCTTATCTGGTCAACGAACCACAGCCTACTGCGCAATTCCACTCAGGTTTATGAGCTCTGCACATGTACCTAGCTTTAGCTACAGTTTCAAGTTGTAAAATGTCGACGAGTCACGTGATAGTCACTGTGAGCACAACGTACCAGATCCCTTGCTGTCCAGTCCAAGGTTCTCTGGAAGCACACTGCAAATCAATACATACGGAATCCTCAGAACCTTGGCAACTACATCTCCATTTGGGACTGTAGTTTCTAGATACACCAGCACTGGCGTCTGCCTAACTTGTACTGCGCGTATGACTCACGTGACTTGAGTCTTGATTACCGAGAGAAGCTGGTGGTTTGGAATTTCCCCGATTTGGGTTGAGAAGCGAGTGTGCCTATGAGATGTGCAGTGTATGTAAGACATCTGCGGGGGAACTTAAGTGTGAATGGTACAGTTATTTCCGGGTCAATGGCGAAGTGGCTCAACTGCTGATCAGACATTAAAAGCCAACAAAAACCAACAAACCTCTGGTGAAACCTCTACGATTCACCATTGAGCCAAGTTCCTCCTTACCTGGAAGTGACTGTACTACTTGCAGTTGAGCTCGATTGAGAGATGCCAAGCTAGGATGCTGTCTTGGTAAATAAATATATATGTTGGAGTACCTAGACGTAGTACTTCTTCTCTAGTCCAGAGCCATTCATCAATTTAAACGAGTCAGCTCACCTATAGGGGTTTTAATATTACAGGAGTCCTCTCGCACACACTATAGCTATCAGGGCATGGAGCTCAGCATTGGATTTAGTCAAGAAAGATCGAGCTTTCAAAAGTAGGGAACCGAAATTTTCTACGGTGGGAGATCTATTTCTTTTCGAGGCATAGCTTGTTCAGCATTCGTCAACAAAATGCTTTTTATTACGGGATTGGTACATCCATGACTGGATACTGATGTAGCTGATAAACGGACAAGCATCTTGCGACCGAACTATTATTTTCGGGTATATAATATCTCTCTTCATGATCATGGTAAAAGGTTTACTCACAAATACCTTCTGATCATGAATGAATAGTTTTTCGACTTGGCCAGAACACCTCCGCCCTGGAGTAAACATGTAACTAATTACAAGTACATCAGGTATATAATGTACTCGAATGATCTTAAGAAAATGTGTGTAGGTACACGTACGGCCTGCATCCCGTGCATGCCCATCAATGAACAATCCTAGCTAAGGAATGATCTTTTAGAACACTCGCTCAACTAGGCTTAACCGTATAGAGCCTTTGTTAGTCAATCGATCAGTGCTCGAGAGCACAAAGGAAAACCGTTGGAGAATCCTCAGGTATGATATGTAGGTACTCGGGGTCGGAGTATTTATGAACGGTCATGGGATCTGGAATTCTCCGGAACGCTATTCTGGCCTCAGCCGCTAACCCGTCCAGACCCTGATTCACAAGGATTGAAATTCTTGAAGGATCAACATAAGATCCGTGGCCAAGTTATATCCACAATCTTACTTTAAACTAGCAAGTTTGTTCACACAGGCTACAATATCTCACTCAGACACTGGGAAGGGTCTTCTACGCCCCGATTAGTATCGCAACCACCTCCATATGTGGGCCAGATCAGACGAACTCGCTAGATAAGTGCCTAAGGCTTTCAGTAGCTAGCATAGTACAGTCAACAGAGGCGTCCTTCTTGCTTATTAGTTTACACAGGAGCAATTCTTGACGCCTTTTATTACAGAAAGTTTCAGGATTTGGTATGGTGCGTTTAGAGTAGGTGATCGTAATCACATCTGCGGCGCAGCGATAAAAAGTGGGAATTATAATGTTATGAGCCCAGATATTCAGGTTTTAGCCCCCTCAGATCATTTCAATAGCGATCGATTTCGATAACAATTGAGATACATACCCTCTCTATCTATGTATCATGCATGAGGATTCACCAATATAAGTCTTCAACAAGGCTAATGATATTTACCAGATATGATCCTAGTCTGTTGTGCCTGAGCTCAACTTGGAGTCCGAGAAATTCCGAAATCAGGAATGGGTTGGGGTGGGAGGCCTCGAGGGTGTTTTTGAATTCTTCTAGGGACCTGACTTTTTGAATTCCGGGCATGGTACGATATCTGACATCAAAGGTGGCCTCGTTTAAATCAAGCCTATCATCAACGGCGTTGATGTAAAGATTTGGGCCTGGAATGCATGTGGGGATCGTATCTACTTTGCTAGAGTGTCTATTGGTAGAATCGATCTCGGCACAAGGATGTACGTACGCACGTTTTCGATATTTTTAGTGTCTTGGAGAAAGGGTAACCCGGAAGATTCTGTTTTCAGGGTAAGAACAATCCAAATACAGACTCGATGAAACGTACTGGATTTGGATTGAAAAGAGAGATAAGTTAAAAAGGTAAATTATGAGAGGGCTGAAAAGATGAGGTATGTATTCCTTTATACGTCCATGGATGCATAATCCTTACCAAATGCTAACATTGCTATAGCGCTAGCTAGATGCCTCTTCCTGACGTGTTACGTACATCGTCCATACCCCAGTAATTAAGCTATAAGTCGACATTATAACTCTAGTTGTATGAGCATAGATTTACTTACTCTTAGATTAAAATCTTGGCTATCTGTGGGAGCTTTTGAAAGTGGAAGCAGATCCATAAAGATAAAATTTCCAGTACTTAATATCTATTCGTCGGGTCTTGTACTTCACGAAGTACTGCAGAGACATGTGATGCGTAAGTGCTGCAATTACCAAATCAGCCAAATAATGCCGGGAAAGATATAAGGCTGAGATCATGCCAGCGTATCGTTATCGTATGCACTCAATCAAGCTGACTTGAACAACTATTCGCTAGAGTCAGAATAGGAAGCCTCGTCCCCATCTATATAGAGCATAATTATAGGGCACGAGGCGGTGAGAGCTTCTGTTCGACCTTCTCTGGACAGTTACATCCCAAGGCGTGATATGAATGGATTTGGGGACCCTGAAAATCACTCAAACGGGAGCTTACTCTGTTCGAGCTATAATTTCGATCATTGGTACTATGCATGCACATTAGAGTTTAGGTGCACTCTATTTGCTGCAGAGAACCGGAAATCTTGATTTTACCCAAAAACTTTATATGAGCCGCAGGAATTCGACTCTAATTTAAGTCTTGAAAGTGGGTTGATCTACTAGTGTCCATATATGTAGGTAGCTTCCTGGTAATTAGCTAGGTTAAGCTTGTTTACAGGGGAACACTTGTTCAACAAAGACTCGGCCTTGACTTGGCGCTACCGAGTTCAAGGAACAGCTAATAGGGATCTTACTTGGAAGCACCATGGATATGGAACGTCTTGTGCCACTCACAGGCGGCTTAGTGTAACTTGTTTTCTAGTATGCCGTTTCGGCACCGCGTCGCGACCCAGATTTGCGAATGAAAATAAGGCATTAGGATAAAAAGTTCGGTTTAGGAAAAATAACGATCCTGCATGTTCTGCTATTATGTTAGTTAGGCAGATATTTCGGCATTGATAGTCGTTTTAATCGCGCTGGGTGAGATATGAATGAGGTGCTGTCAATTCTGCTAGGGTGGTCTTGATAATAGGAAAGATTTAGTATATAAAGAGGTTTCCTTTTCCAATTTCCACGGAGACAGTATCATTCAACAGGATCACTACAGCCATATTCTCAGTATTGGACATTATGCTTTTTTCAGTATCTTTCGTTTCGAAAGCCTTGTCGATTCTTACCTTCGGGTTGACTTGTGTTTCTTCTTTACCTTTGAAAAATGGGGATTATGGAACACATGAGAATCATGATGGGATCTGCAAGAACCCACGAGTGCGCAAAGAATGGTTTGACATCATGAAATAAATCTTTAGTGGGACTGGAGCTAACTCTCTTTGTAGGAGAAAGCTTTCTGATCCTGAGAAGGCCGACTATCTTCGAGCTGTAGACTGTCTTCACAGCATTCCGGGGCAGTATGCCGATGTAATCGACGGACTTTCGGTTTTTGAGGACTACATATACGTCCATAAGATCCAAACGCCTTATGTGCACCTGGTGGTATGCTTCAATCCCTGATACAATCAATGAATATATGAAATAACACGTCAATTAAAGGGACACTTCCTGCCATGGCACAGATACTTCATGTGGACATACGAAGAGGATTTAAGAAACCGCTGTGGCTATAAAGGCGCCCAACCGTATGCTACTCATAGAATCCCTCTCTAACCAACAAAAGCTGACGCCTAGAAATAGTTATTGGGACTACTCCCTAGATGTACCTCCTACGGCTGAAGTCACAGGTTTATCGGCCTCTCCAATATTCTCCCCTGATACAGGCTTCGGCGGAG